CAGTTTTCAAAAGAAGTAATGATGTCACACTAAGGAAAAACAAATGGTCCCACTGGGTTGGGAAAAAGGTTTTCTTAATACTTGGAGGAATATAGGGGAAGCATATATGAAGCAGGTAAGCACACAGTGGTGTTCCTCCCAGCTTACCCATTAGCACTGGTAGGCTGTTCTTCAGGGAACCCAAGTCATTCTTGGAAGCTAAAGATAGGTTTTCTGTGCCATCAATTTGTCAAATCACTTTTTGTGTCTATCATGTCATTCTTAATATTTTTAATAATAAGTTCCACAACATGATTTATATAAATCAAATTGTGTAATCGATATACATAACAATTGATGTACTTAAAATAGATCATTGTCCTAGGCAAAGCCCAGTCCCTAGGACATGGGAGTTTCTAACATGCAAAGAAAAACCTGGCATAGTTTGGGACTAGTAAACTGGAAAGCATAGAACTGTCACTAGGTGGAGAGGAATAGCCAATCTGTGCATTAAGATGTGTGTGTCTTTTATTGCTGTGGTAGTATTGAAGTAGGGGAACGAGGAGGGGGGTTGTTGTTTTTTGATTTGGAACAGAGATCATCTTTTAAAAGGTTGCAACATGCTAAATAAAAATAAATAGTTGAGTTGGAAATTTAGAATTAATCTATGGAAGAATTTAGAGTGATTGTTCTTTTAATACTAACAACTGCATAATAGTGTTTATGGAGGTTCTTTTCTGTTCTGTTCCTCGGTTTGTTTACTTCAACAAAAACAGAATTTTAGAAAAGGAGTCTGAGGGCAGAAGAGGTGATTAATTTCTCCAGGAGATAGAGTGTGTAGGTCAGTAACATTTTCTTTAATGAGGGCTGTAAAAGTGATTAGGAGCCTTCAAGGTCAATTTATTTCTAAACTGTTTTTTCCAAAAAACCAATAATTAAAAGCTGTTCTGTATGTAAATTACAGTTCTGTATGGGCTGATAAGAATGAAAACAACATGAACTTCCACAATAGAAATGTGTGAACATTCCCACAACAAAAATGAGTGCGAACTGCTGTATTCCCCTGAAACTTTCTGCCTGATGTTTTCAGTCAGAATAAAAAGAGATTTCCCCAGTATTTTTCTCATGGTACCAGCCAAATAATGAACTGAGTGCTTGATCATATTAGAACATCCAAGTACTATTTTCTGCATATTTGTCCTAAATTGTTAGAGATACTTCTGGTCTTCTGAACATGGGAAAACTGCAACCAAGGCATAAACTTGGAAGGAACATGTTTGGAGATTTTCCCAGGATGGACTGAGGAAACTAGATGGAGAGTAAGCAAAACAATAGATTAAATTCTGACCCCCTGAATTTAATGGCAAAGCTGCCAGTAAGTTTAGCTTTTGACAAAATCTTCAGAGGTAGTCAAAAAGGCAAATAATGACAGTAATAGAAAGGGGATAGACAACCAAATCATCATTACACTTCATGAACAGTGAGCTGTTTTGACATCCATGTTGAAAAGAGATACAGAATTTGACACAGTTTAGAGGAGGACGAGCATGAACAAAGTAAGGAATAGCTTCTGTGCACAGAAGAAAGTAAATAATTCAAAATCGCCATCTTGGAAAAGGTGCTACTCAAGGAGAAATGATAGAATTTTAAAATTTCTGACTGGCATGAGGAACAGTGAATAGAGAACAATTAGTCATGCTCGTATCAAGAAAATTGGGCACGAAATAGATTAACAAAGGGACTGCTTCATACAATTTAAAAATAGATATCCTTACCTTAGGATGATTTGAATACCAAGAGTATGCATATGTTAAAAATTAATAGAGAAATTCATGGATGAGAGGTCTGTCTAGCAGTACTAAGCACTCTGATACAGAAGCAGCCTCCAGCTCAGAAGGTCCCTAAGGAGGTGGGTGCCAGAAACGGGCAGGATTTACAGGGGAAGCTTCTTCAGCTTTCCCTGTTTTCCGAAGGGCTTGCTGTTGGCGCTGAAAGGTCAATATAGGAAGCTGCACAGTCTTTCAATCATTCCAGTTACTATCTTTCAGTTACTCCAGCTCAGTATACCTGTTCTTGGGACTTCAACAAAGGCTAGGTTTTTGATCATTT